CCCATCTAAAATGGCAAAGGGAGTTTTCTCGCCGACAGTTTTCTATACCAATGAAATCACAAGTATAATTAATAATGATAAATGGGTATACAGACATATAGTGGCAGTATGTGGCACAGTAGATAGAATGCAAGGCCTGGAGTCAGGAAGACTCTTCTTCCTAAATTCAAATCTGGCCTCAGACACTAGCTGTGTGACCCTGGGCAAGTCACTTAACCTTGTTTGCCTCCCTTTCCTCATCTGTAAAATGAGTTGGAGAAGGAAATGGCAAACCCCTTCAGTATCTTTGCCAAGAAAACCCCAAATAGTGGTCATGGAAAGTCAGACATGACTGAAAGTGACTGAACAATAATACACACATACAATCTGTGTATGTGAGAGCAAGACAGCCACATAGAAACATTTGTTCAGACTTGCCATTTCATCAAGGGAACTCACAGAGAGGAAACCTGCTTCACTAAAGGTCATTTCTCTGTACCTTAAGAATTTTAGGGGGCATCCAAAGCCATTCAGACATTAAGTGACTTACTCATGTTCACAGTTACTTTGTATCAGAGATAAGACTTATGTTCAAGTCTTCCTGATTCTAGGGTTAGCCCTCTATCCACTTGGCCAGGTTACCTCTTGCCAGTGGGTGGTTACCAATTTGTATAGCATTATAAATAATCACTTTTTTACAGTCCAATTTGGCCTTCCGGAGTAAATTTCCCATACAGTAGAACAAAACAGGATCATGAGCCACCTTGGAAACAATCGTAAACGTTTTTACTAGTTCACAATTACTAGAGATTTAATTTTATTTTAGCCAGTCTCCTCTGTCCCCTCTCCTTCCCTCCCGCTCCCCAACCATGATATGCTCAGGATAAAATAAATGTGATATGCATTCTTTGATACTTACCTGGCAAAAAAGTTTTTACACATTAAGTACAAATGGGTAAACAGCAAATTTTCATTAAATTTCTTTTAAGATGAGCTGTAAAATGTTCCTTTTAAACTCAGATGCTTTACTGATGAGTGTCCAGTTAACCACTGGGCTGTATTATAGCAGTTCTCCTTATTTAAATACCCTCTAAAAGCAGTGAGAGGCAGTATAGTCAGGAGAGGTTGAACCCTCTAGATGATAAGTTTACATTACATTACATTACATCTAGCTGTTTTCATAGAGAGTGCAAAGTAAGAAGGAAATTAACATTTGAGGACAGAGGCTATTGTCAGAGCCAGAAGGACCTGGGTTCCTTGCCATCTCTAACACATATCTGTGTGACCTTGGGCAAGTCAGCACTCGAGACAACTTCCAAAATCTATGAAGTTGTGGACAAGGTGCCAACCTGCATTGGTAGATGGGTTTTCCTTCCCTGAGTTTTCTAAACCCAGTGGTATACTGGAGCCAACTTGAACTGGCTGGTGTGTTCGTTTGTTAAAATTTTCAGGGTGAGCATTTATACCCTTCAAATCTGCAAATGCTACAAATTGAGGCTTGATTTATTTTTTATTGATTATTTAGCTTAAGAAAGTGATGGAGAAAATAATGCAGATTAAATTTAAAAGTGCGTCAACCCCCAACAGGTTGCTAAACATTTACTAGCACCCACACTGGCGGCCTATACCAATGAAATCACAGTCCCTATTGTATGTTCAGGATTAGAATATAGAACCCTGAACTTAACACCCGTAAAGGACCTACTATGAGTAGCTGAAAAGGCAATGCCTACAAAATTCACTCTGGGTTGAGCAAGATAATTTGTTTGTTCCTTATTGAGGGAAAGCAGAATTCTGAACCATCATTCCCTTGGAGGCACTGGTCAGATCAGGAATTCCATGGGGAGGGAATGCCCTCCTCTTCCTCTCATCTCCTGATGGGGATTGTCATCTCATCTGTGACTTGGGGTCTGAGAGAGAGCATTCTGCATGGAGATGCTTAGGATCTAGGCTCAGACTGAGAGTGGAAAGGAACCCTACAGCTTATCCAGTCTGAGTTGAGAGGAGTTTAAGTGAATTGCCCAGGTTCACACAGGTAGATCAGGGATTTGAACCCAGGTCTTCTGATCCACAGCCAGACCGCTTTTCACTGTACTATGCTGCCTAAGCAAATAGTTTGTTGTTGATGTTGTTTTAGGCAATTGGGGTTAAGTGACTTGCCCAGGGTCACACAGCTAGTAAGTATCAAGTGTTTGATCTAAGGCTGGATTTGAACTCAGATCCTCCTGACTTCAGGGCTGGTGATCCACTGCACCACCTAGCTGCCCCCCCCAAGCAAATAGTTTTTAACTGGCAGCTATGTAACACAATTGAGAGAGTATTGGAACCAGGAAGCCCCAAATTCAAATCCTGTCTCAGACACTTACTAGCTGTGTAACCTTGGGCAAATCACTTAACCTCTCAGTCTCAGTTTCCCTATCTGGAAAGTGGGCATGGTAATTGCACCTACCTCCTATGTTGTTTGTGAGGATCAAGTGAAATCGCATATGTAAACCTTAATGTAAACCTGCTATCACTCTATTATTCAAACAAACATCACTTTTTACAAGGGTAACTCTAGAATTTACTTTGAATTCTCAGAAGTGAGCTTAAACAGCACAAATCTTGCTAAGCTCTCTCTCCTTACACCCTAGCAGGTCTGTTGTCCTTTGGCCCAGGAGCAGTAAGTGACATTTATCAATAAACACTATGATGTCCTCCAGTGACCGACCTTCCCATTTCTGTTAAAGTTATTCTCTACCCATCTGTGGTTATCCTCCTTTAAGATGAAAATGACTTAGACATCTAGTTATTATTCACTGGCCCTTTACCATCACAGCCTTTAAGATGATTTCCATGCTCAGACCAAAATCTACAGGAAAAGAAGGACTTGACAGCTATGGTGGTACAAGAGGCCCAAAGGCATCACTCCTAGCAACCAAATAAACCAGGGTCACAGGGAAAAATAGCCCTTGGTAACGAGCAGGATGCCAGCCGTAATCTCTGCTAGTATATACCTCCCAGGAGGCTGAGCCATCCTCTTCCTTAGGCGCATACTTTACTGAAGAGAGAGTAACAAAGAAGAGTCAGACAGACCAGGAAGAATAGGAGGCATTTCCCCCACAGATGCCTCCAGAGTATTGGTTCCTCTTTAGCTCATACCTTCGGAAGGACTCCTTACTCTACTTCTCCTGCAACACCTAAAGAACTCAGGTTTTATGGGGATTTGTCAGGAATGAGCTTATTAGGGGAAATTTTTCCTGAGAGCATAGCCCACAAAAAAGAGGGAACTAAGGCTGAGGAGTATGGGAAGTGACTGGAATCATTTTTTTCCCCCCGAGTGTTTTTCTTTCCTCTCTCTCCTTTTTTCCTTCTTTGTTTATTTCTTTTTTTTCCCCCTAGGATGCATGGAGAGGGGGAGCAAAAAACTGGTTGAACTGGGTGTTGCTATTGCAGATTATAACCTACTCTAACCCTGCTACGATGAATAGTTTTTAATTGAATGGTTTTCCACCCAGCATCCAGGACAATCAATGTATCAGTCAACAAGCACGTAGTAAACCTTGGAGCGGAGGAAGGAGAACTGACTTTAGAGTCATAGGATAGGAGTTAAATTCTGCCTCTGATGCTAAACTGTGTGACCTTGGTTGAGTCATTTACTTAAACTTCTTGGTCCTCAGTTTCCTCATCCATTAAATGAAGTTGGGACTAAGATGGCTTCTGGGGTTCCTCCCAGCTGTGGGTTTATAGTCCTATGTGCCAGGCATGGAAACCAATCAGCCCTAGATAGATAACTTCCCAGAGGGTTTTGTTTCCCTCATATTTCAGAGAATCATATTTCCAAGCCATTTTTAAAGCGTTATTTTTACGGCACTGTGTAATCAACAGGCCAAAGATGAATTAACATTCCAAAGACAATCAGTCTGGAATGGCTTAAGTAGGTAAGTCATGTAGGTTCAATGACAAATTAAAAAAAAAAAGAGACACTGCCCCATCATCAGACCAGCACTAAATTGTCAGGTGTTTTTTCCCCTCTTGATTATAGTTTAGGACCGAATGAGAAGAAATTGGAGAAGGTACAGAGGAGAGCAATGAAAATGATTAAAGGACAGGTGATGTAAGTTTCAAGGAATTGGGATGTGTATCTCCACCTGAAACAGGACAAGGCAGAGCTACACAAATTTTATTTGATTATTTGCCTAAGTGGGGAAGAAGGGGGAGAGACAAAGAACTATTTCCATTACACCCAGAGGCAACCTTGTAGCTGTACTTCTAAGTGCAGTAGAGCTGCAGAAACCCCCTTGCTATGAGGTTTTCAAAAAAGTTTCGACAATCCTGTTCAGAATGGCTGACGTACAGACCTGCCTGGATACTGAAGGATGGAGGAAGTTAATTACAATGGTCTTTAACAAATCTATTCTAATCCAACTTTATAAGACAATTCACTCTTAATGAAGTGACGCTTTTTGTTGTTTTATTACAAAGCTTCTTAAAAAAAATGCTCAGCACATTAACTCAAACTGGAATGACAAAACTTTAGTTAACAGTTTTTGGCAAAGGCTGCGCCTCGCAGTTTTTTGTTGTTTTTGTTTGTTTTTTTTAATGGGTACATCAATGCTCATTTCAACAACTGGCATAAAATCCCACTAATCGGCTAATAAAAACAGATACAAATACAGAACATTTAAAGTAATAACAATTCAAGTGCTGGGCTTTTTACAAGAAGAGGGGGTAAGAGATAAAGAAGAAAGGGAAAACTCACTGCAAACCAATTTGCTGGATGTATTGCTTAGGTTTACAAAGAGGACTAAAGTGAAGCAGGATCGACGTGTCTATGACAAGTTGACTTGGTGGTTACACTTAATTAGTTCTATATGACACCTTACAAAGACGGAGAGGCCACTATTTGTTACAAACCGTTCACAGAGAAGCCACATTTTCAGACAAGATTTCTCTTGGACTTCTTTCAGTTTCGTTTTTTTAAAAAATCATACTTTTCCAGATCTTTGAATTTTATTTAAAAGATCATGTAGCTAGTAAAATATACACCAAGGAAATTAAAACTAAAAAGTTAAAAATATAAAAGCATTCAAGTTTAAAAAAAAGAAGCAAACATAAAATTGATCCTTTTGCACTGTTATTAAATAAAAAGTTTGGGAGGAAGGAAGAGAGAAAACAATGGAGATAGAAACAATGATGGGAAGTCTTCCACAAATTCCTCACGGGGCGATGGGCAGGTGATTGAGTGCTGGCTGGCTGTTGGCTTCAGGTGATTGCAGCAGGCAGGCGGACATGGCCAGGTTACCTTGCTTGCCAAAAGGTATAGACATGGATGCAAAATACTCTGGGAAGTACAAGGCAGAGATAAAGGGAGAGAAGCTTCTCAACTGACCCAAAGCCTGCAAACATTCTCGTGTGCATTTCAATTTTGTGGGATTCGTTGTTTTAAAATCTTCTTATGCTTTTCTTTCAGGACTGGGTTCTTGCAGTAGAAGCAAAGAGGGGTTTGGCAGTGATTGTCCTTATGTTCAATGTCTCTAGCAGTAACCACAGGGTCAAGTGGACATCAAGACTCCTTTGGGGTCAACTGCTCAGACCGAGGAGATGTTTGGAATTTCAACAGGCTTCCATCTCCAGAAGAGGCCCTGGGGTTGCTGCCTTGGCTTTGCACGTCGGGAATGAGTTTCGTTTTCCACCTCAAGAAGGAACAAATGAAATGCTATTAATATGAAACATCCATAGATGAAACTCCCTGCTGTCCCACAAAAAAACAACTCCCCTTTTAAAAAATGTCTCTAGTACAAGACCTTCACAAATCCTTTGTATTTCTTTTGCCCATTAGGGCAACTTGGTTATCTCAAAGATGGATTGTGCCCTATCATTGCTTAGTCCCAAGTGGAACTCTGGCTTCAGGCAACACAATTAGAATGTTTCAACATCAGGGTTTTCGAAATGTTTGGATTCATGCACCTTCCACCACATACTTGATTAATTAAGCATATTTTTACTTTTTAATGAGTTAGCGGCATCTGTTGTACCATTTAGCTAGATTGGCTAAAAACAAACAACTCTAAAGCAAACACCTTAGAAAATAAAAAAGGCCCAACAGTAATTCCTTTCTAATGAAGACTATATTTCCTTCCATATTTGAGCACTGAATCAACGATGTGGTCCCCCATGTACAATATGACTTTCTGTACTTTGAATTCAAATTTCTGCCTTGGGAAGTAAAGCTCCTAGAGCAGGTAGTAGAAATTATACTAGATTTAGCCAGAAGAACTGGGATCAAACTCCAGGCCTGTCACTAACTACCTCATGTGACTCTGAGTAAGTCACAACCTTCAAGAGAAAAGAGTCTGAGTGTCTTAGAAATCTTGCCCCCACTTGGTTCAACCTGATGGGACCACTATACAGTGGCATAACTCAGTTTCCTCACCCATAAAATGAAGAGGTTGTACTAGACACAGCCTTCTAAGGTCTCTACATCTTATGATCTTAGGGAATGTGTTGCACAACATTCTATGGACAACCCAGTGCACTCGGTAATAACTATCCTGTAATAAAAATTGTCTTAAAACCCTCCACTTCAGACCATGTTTTGCATAACAACTAAACTTTGAAAAACTCACTTATAGGATGTGTATAATGGGAAAAAGAAAAAAAAAAGCTGGGGAGGCCATGCTGGTACTGTGTGTGTTATAATTTACCAGAAAGGACACATATTATCCAGCACATTGTTAATATCCTAATACCAAGCATCACCACATCTTTCCATACATTTTTATTCCCTTGGTAACAAATAAGAGTCCAGGGTCCTTTGTTCCTATCTGTAAGTCGGTCATTGGATTATGATCCAAAGACTTAGCACTGAAAGGGATCCCAGAGACCATCTAGTTTCTCCATTTTCATCCTAGTATTCTTAAGGACTAGAAAAAAAAACAACAACCAAACAAACTACTTAGTCTTTTGGACAATAAACACAAGTGCCTAGAACCAAGTAAGGGATACAGCAAGCGTTAAATGGACATGTAAAGTAGACAGTGCTTATGACAATTGCGGTGAATCTTGAACACCAGAAAAACTGGGAAGACAACAGACCTCAAAAATCAGAGTTTCGGTAAATTAGGGAGAAGGAATGGACTTATTTTCATTTATAGTGTTACATGTAATAAGACAAAACAAAAGAAGTCACGCTGAAAAAAAGCACTTTTCTCTGAATTTTCTCCCATGTGACTTTAGAAATAGGCAGCTGCTCTAGGCTGGCAGTAGGCAGCCAGGTGACACAGTGGATAGAGTGCTGGGCCTGGAGTCACGAAGACTCATCTTCCTGAGTTTAAACCTGGCCTCAGACACTTACTAGCTGTGTGACCGAGGACAAGTCACTTAACCCTGTTTGACTCAGTTTCCTCATCCATCAAATGAGCTGGAGAAGCAAATGGAAAACCACTCCAGGATCTTTGCCAAGAAAATCCCAAATGGGGTCACAAAGAATATGACTTGACTGAAACAACTGAAATAAATCTACTCCAAACACAACCTTGAAAAAGAGAAGAAGGTCTGAGTATCTTAGAAATCTTGCACCCAACTGGCTCAACCTGATGGGACCAGTATACAGTGAAATAATTTCTTAACAAACTTAGATGACTTGGATTTCCGTCTGCTTTTTTATTTGGGAATGTTTGGGAAGACTAAGAATGAAGAAAGATCAATAAAAATAAGACACCAAACACTAATTTGAATATTTCTGAAACAGGAAAGCAGGTGGCAAACTTGAATATTGTCCCTAAGCAATTTTTTTTAGGCGCTTAATAAAGACTTGTGGAGTGATTAAAATTCTACTATCCTGACACAAAGATAAAATGATTACTGGGCCATTTGAATTTACTTGACCAAGATAAAACTACAGCACTCTCAAGTTACGTAGAAAAGTTCCTTGTCACATATAAAATGGTGGCTACCAAATGATCAGCCCAACACTAGGATGAAATAGGCTTCTATGCTTTGTGAAGGTAAGGTTAAATGTTTATTTACAAAAGTCATGTTTTCAACTAAGGAGGACTTTTATTGGCACATTCAATTTCTATTTTCTTGTAAAATTAGACCTTTTCTGACTTAATGGGAGGTCTCATATCCCCATCCCCCATCCCATCCCACCCAGTTTCCTTCAGTGGTGCCCTACCCAGTAGTATGCGCGGATCAAAGAGATATGAAGGTCTCTACCTTTCCAAGGAGAAAGGAAGAGTCCAAGCAAACAGCATGGAATCAGTGCTGAGTGCACCCCGTAGATTTCCATTTACTTTGTGCCTTTTCATCCCAGATTTTCAAAGGTTTGGTCCAGGTCACTCTTCCTGGGAAGGTTTTCCTCTCAGTCTTACATAAAAACATTCAGCTTCCTGTTGAGGAATAGCCTTGAGGCTCCAAGCCAGTAGCTAACAGCAGTCTGATACAAATGCTGTGATTCTGAGTGGACTCTCCATTAAAAGCCAGAAACGTCTATTTTCTGGAGGAAATAAAGCGTTCTTCTGTTGCGGCTTTTCCTCACTCCCTTCTCTTACCAGCAAGCGCCCCTTTGAAGCCAGAAGGTTAAGATAACTTCCATGGCCTTGCTCAAGGCTTCCATTCTTAAACAAAGCCTTTACTTCTGCTAAGCCAGAATAAAAAGGCAATGTATATGTCTAACCTCTCACAGCCCTCCTCACTGCACTGCCTCAAGGCTTCCTTTCTCCCTCCACCCCTCTAGCCAAATACATTCTAATATATATCTTTTTTAGGTGCTCAATAGGCTTAATTTTTAGTTTATTGATGGAGTGATTAAAATTCTACTACCCTGACATATATATAGAATGATTAGTGGGTCACTTGAACTTACTCGACCATGATAAAGCTAAAAAACAAAAGTCTTATCTCACATTCTTCATTGCTCTCCTTCTCTGTTCTCACACACTCAATAAGTTTCTAAGCATCCGAACAGGACTTAGGAGAGGAATTTTCTAAATACACTCAGGCAAAACGTGTTTCCTTTTCTTACTAATCCTGGTTTAAGTTTGCTTCGTGAGCCCACTGGACAACTGCCCACCAGTAAGCAACTTAACACCACTGGGACAGATTTCCCAAGGGATATGCTGGTTTTGTTGTTGTTGTTGTTGTTGTTTTCTCGTTCTGTTGGTTTCTTTTAAAGAAGACAATTGATTAACTGCCTCTGGTAGGAAGTAACGTCATTCTTTCCCCTTAGGAGCTAAGGGGCAAAACTCATGGGCTCCCACTTCGGACAGACCAACCCCGTACCTTAAAGCGTAAGGAATGGGGGCCTTGTGATGTGCTTTACAGACATTAAACAGGTCAAATCAGGATTCTTTTCAAGAAACCACAGGCATGCGCTAAGGAGATGGAACACTCCCCACATCTAAGACTTCACTGGGGGGCTGCCGCTGAAGCCTTGCCAAGCCAGGCGTGCCCTAGCAAAGCCCAATCCACAAGTGAAGTCGGAGCAATCAAAGGCTGCAATTACAGCTCCATGGCTGTGGTTAGGCTTCAAAGAAAGTGCTGCGAGCCACATTTTACATATGTTAAGTCTTGGGCTTGATCCACAGTGAGAGCCACTGTCTGTGCCATTTGTATTGGATATCTGAGTAGGGAGGGGGTGCCCTTTAAACAGTTGCTACTAAAAGAAAATGTAAATGATCCACATGAAGTACTCATGGATCAAACTAAGAACTTTTCAAACTATCCCAACAAGTCAAGTGTGACCTGCAACACAGGCTGGTAAAATTGCCTATTGTGAATAGGTAATTCACAAGGTGGGGAAGAGGTGGGAGCGAACAGAAAAGGCAGAGGCAGGGAGGGAAAGGCAAGGGAAGGTCTTTTGTGTAACTAAAAGATTTCAATGTTAGAATTCTAGGAACTAATAACCGAGGGGAGTAAATAATGCTAGGATAACAAGTTATTCAATGACAACATTATATTAAAAAAAAAAACAACAACTTTGAAACACTTGAGAACTTTGATCAATGTAAAGAGAAACGATGAGTTCAGAGGACACTGTTTACCTCCTGCCAGAAAGCTGATGGCCTTAAAATGCAGATTGAGACATTCTGGACAAGGCCAACATGGAAATTTGTTTTGTTGGACTGTGTATATTTGTTATGAGGGCATTATTTCTTTTATGAATTGTTCGATGCAGAGGGACAGTGGGAGGAAGAGATGATAAATGCTTTAAAATAAACACTTTTTTAAAAAATGAGACTTACTTTTGGTAAGTAAACTATTTATACCCTGAGGTTCTCTTAGTCCCTGACTCAAAGGACGTGGGAAAGAGAAAGTATGTGTGTGTGTGTGTGTGTGTGTGTGTGAGAGAGAGAGAGAGAGAGAGAGACACACACACACACAAAGAGACAGAGAGAGAAAGAGAAAGAGAGTCAGAGAGAGACAGAGACAGAGATAGAGACAAAGAGACAGAGATAGAGAGAGACAGAGTCAGAAGACAGACAGAAAGTGGGAGAGTGGGGGAAGGAGAGAGAGAAAGAAAGAAAAAGAAAGAGAGAAAGAGAGAGAAGAGAAGAGGAAAAAAGAAGAGAGGAAAGGAGAGAGAAGAGAGAGACAGAGATAGACAGACAGAGATAGACAGAGAGAAAGACAGAGACAGAGAGACAAAGAGAGACAGAGATAGAGAGCCAGACATAGAGTGGGGAAGACAGAG